CTTCCTTCCTTCCTTCCTTCCTTCCTTCCTTCCTTCCTTCCTTCCTTCCTTCCTTCCTTCCTTCCCTTCTTTCTCTCTCTCTTTCTGTCTGTCTGTCTGTCTGTCTTTTTTTCTCTTTCTCTTCTTGCAAGGTGAAGGTAAAAATTGAAAATGAAAGAAAAAGTCAACCCTCTTCTCAATATTTAAGATTAACCTTCAAGAAGAATCGGCATTCATTGCCACTCGCTCCATGAAAACAGAAGTCTCCCGGCGGAGAGACTTCTGCCGCAGGATTTCCATCCTTGTTAACAAAGTTTAAAAAAAAAAGAAAACAAGAATTCACTGATGTAACTTATTTATTTACTGACTGACTGACTGGCTCTGGTTTATAGGCTAGTCCAACCCCACAGAAATCAACACAAAATGAGATCAAAACAATAGAAACAAGTAGAAGCAATTTCACAGTAGTTCATCACACCAGACCCCACGTCCCACATCTTAGAGGTCATCTGGTCTTCATACCACTGCAAATGCAAACAGCCACGTTTTCATGGCTCTTTAAAAGCTTACTAAAGTTGGGTGGGTCCAAATCTTTGGGATAGGTGGTTCGGAAGGGGGGCCATCACGGAGAAGGTTCAACACTGAGGTTCTGGAGATGACATTCCACTGGTGGTGGGACCTTCAGGATGCTTCCCCCTCCAAATACCACTGAAGAGTCGATTCCACTTGGAGCAGGTGGTCTCAGTTTTAGACTGAGTTTGGGTTAATGGCTTTCAACAAGGGCTTGGGAATCCTACTTTTCCATTTTCCCATATATTGGGTAGGTTCAGTGATACCTGCAGGGTCACAAGCTCTCCACCTTGGAGTCAAAGATGTCCTTGAGTCTGTGCTGATGCAAGAAAATGTTGTCATTTTTGCAGAGTCGCTACTGAGGACAATAACCCAGCTTTGATCTTATCGTCATCTCCACCCCGTGGGAGTTGTTCCTTTCCAAGATCAGATAAACAGAAATGTTTTGACTTGAGGTTAGCAAACTTGAAAGGAAGTGCGAGAAAAATAGTGTTAGGATATTTATGGTGACAGGCTTATTGCACTTCAGAATGGCAATGTGACAGTTTGTGCTGAGTGACGTCCTTTTTTCTTTTAAACGCCGGAAAAGCAAATTGTTGGAAGCCATCTGAAATGTTATGAGTCCCAACTTCCTGGGGACGCCAGCCAAATTGTATAAAAACCCACTCTGCTCTCTGTCTTGCCATCAGTGTTTGCTTGACTCTCCTGTCTTCACGACTTCTCACCGAAGCAGGTAAGTCTGTATTCTCAGAGAGAATTCCTCCCGGTTGCTAGCAGGCGAGATAGATCTTCCAGCCAGAATCCGGGATTCCTCAAAAGATTGACGCCATCGTAGGCTAGAATGCTTCTGAATGTTTCTGCCTTCAGGACCAGCTTGGGGGCTTTCTGTCTGATGGACTAGGTTGGGCTTCATTTTGAGTTTTTTCCTTCTCAAACATCTGCCTTGAGCTCACCATCCAGAGCTAGAGTGTTTACGGTTAGGACATTGGAAAGCCATCCGATCTTTTTGAGGCAGTTTGGATTACTATGCTTATCAAATCCAGGCTGTAGCAACCAACATTTGAGGGTCATCAGTTAGCCTATCCCTTAACTAGAGACAGGGATTTGGACCCAGCCTTGCCTTTTTACTCAGAAGCCAAGAAACCTGTTGAGAAGCCATGGTCTAACCTGAATTTCAGAGAGGATGAGAAGAAATATAATGGAGGCCCCTTCTCCTGATCTCCTTGGGGTTTGGCCACCGGCTGACCAAAGAAAGGAGCGTGCTGTTCAACCTTTAACAAAGCATATGGCACAGAGAGGGGCTAATATTTACAAGGTATTTTAAAGCTTGAAGGAGGCATATAAAGTCTTCCCTACCGTATCTCAAAGGTGAAACTAATGGAGTCTCTGAGCTGAGTCTGAACCTTGGTGACTGCAACCATGCATTTTTGGGGGGGCATTGTTCCAGAAGCAGCGTGCCTCGTTTCTTCTAGTTCTTATTTCTCAGTGTAGTGAGCGGAGGTTAGTTGGTCAAGGGCCATCAGGATGGATCCAAAGCGGGGTTCAGAAATGATGGGGGACTTGAGAGAAAGCAAAGCCTGTCATATGAAATGTATCATTCTGGTTGAAGGAAGAAGCGGGCGATGGGGGTGGGGGGTAAAACACAATGCAATTCTCACAATGTCTCTCCATTTTCTGCATTAGACTCACTTCACAACTCAACACAATGCCTTACTGTGGACCATCTTGTGCTGTCCCCTCCTGCGCATCCAGCCCCGTCGTCGGCTTTGGATCAGCTGGCCTTGGGTTGGGTTCTGGCTACGGTTTAGATTCTGGCTACGGTTTGGGTTCTGGCTATGGTTTGGGTTACGGCTACGGATCTGGTGCGTTGGCCACATCTTCTGGCAGCCTGGGCACCCTGGCCGGCGTCAACCCTTCCTGCATCAACCAGATCCCCCCAGCCGAGGTCGTGATCCAGCCTCCAGCTTCTGTGGTCACCATCCCAGGAGCCATCCTCTCTGCCAGCTGTGAGCCCGTCTGCGTCGGAGGCAACACGCCATGCGCTGTCTCTGATTCTGGGCTGAGAGGAAGCTGGGGCTATGGAGATTGGGGCTATGGAGGTCTTGGCTTGAGGAACCGGGGTCTCCTTGGCAGAAGGTTCCCCTTGAGCCGTAGAGGAAGCATTTGTTACAGCCGTCGTGGTAGCATTTGCTTTTAGAGGATAAGTTTGGCATGGAAGATCTCCTTGATATTAGGACCGTGTTGGACTCACTCCTGCTTTTTGTTCCTCCCACCTTTGCTTTAAAATGCTCAAGATCCTCACCCCTTTGCATATATATATATATACCACGCCTTCCCCAGCTCTTGTATGTCTCTCAATGTCACTTCTCTGTGTTTTCCAATAAAATGAAAAGTGCATCATTTGAACCCACGTCTCTGTCTTCCTTTGATCTCCATCCTGTGTGGCATGGGTTACAGGGAATTAGATTCACATGAGGTCATTGCTTGTAGTCTTCAAAGGCATGTCTGCCTTCAGAGAATCCAAAGAAGCTAAGAAAAGCTCCAGTGGATCAAGTCAAGCTCCTTCTTGGTCCAGCACTTGGTTTCTCCAAAGGGCCAACCTTTATGGTGCTTGCAAACAGGTGGTTGGAGACGTGTCCCTTTCTTGCCACCTTTGTTCCCCTGTAGCTTTATTTGGTGGAGGCTACCCGTCCCCGACAGCTAACACTGAATTTTCAAGACTAATAGCTCATGGTAGATTTGTCCTCCATGGCAGCGTCCAGTCCCCTTGGAAAGCCACTGAGTGCCCATCACCAATTACAAGATACACTATCTTCTCTCTCAGCAGGATTCCTGGGTCTGCCTTTGGATGGCCCAGAACCTCAACTCATTCAGACAATCAGGTTTCTGTTGAGTTTCACCATCAATTGATTTGGTTGAACCTCTCATAAAAAAACAGGGTCAGATCTGGCCTAGGCAGAAGGCCAGAACCCACAGCATGCAGAGACGCAACAGATCCCCTCTTCCAAGGGTGACTCCTCATGTTTCTTCCCCATGTGAGTGAAGACTTGAATAGTTGCATTGGTTTAAAAATAGGAATCAAAATCAGGATCAAAATAAAAAAATAGTCAAAAGCTCCCAAGATGTTGGAACCAAGCCTCTGAAATTACAGACATTTTTGACAAGATTTTCTAATGTTGTATTTCTCATGGGAGCCAGGTGTTGATAAAGCTTGCTTAGTGCAACGTATGAACCCCATTGTATGCTTCTTTATGGGACTTAGATTATTGGTCCACACGTGATCTGCAAATGGATTCTTCTCATGGCCAAAACTAAGGTTCCCCTCACACCTTAATTATACAAGAAATTAAAGTTAAGACCATATGGACTTTTCTGTCCTCTCAAAGCACTTTGCTTTCTTCATGTAAGCTTTCAATGACTCGTCGTGATTTTTTGGGCATAGCTTAAAACCAGGGCTACCTTCCACAAATACTAGAGTGTTCCAATAAAGCTCCAGATGGTCCACCAAGTTGGCAAGATAGAACAACAACTGCTACCCTCCCAGATGTTTCTTCTGCAAGCAACAGGCAGAATCTATCCTGTTATGCATAATGGGAGGTAAAATATTATTTTGATCAGCCTCAAGGTGGTGCTGATCTCTCAAATGTTCCTATTTCAACTATCTCAAATGTTCAAATTTCCTGTTCAAAATCTCCAGAGTTTCCCACCTGCCGTGAAGCATCTTCTCTCCCCTCCCCAGGTTTTGCCTTGTATGCCCTGGAAATCCCAGAAGAAAGAACCGTCTAGTGGATCAAAGGTCCCATCTTGCTTTCTGAGGTGGCTTCCTCCATGAAAGCTCTACCAACAGGCTGTGAAGATTGCAGCCATCTCAAGATGCAGTTCCTTAGCAACTAACACTCAAAAGTGCTGCCTTTCCATGAAGAGGTTCTATCTACTCATCACCGCTGGCTGAAGACAGGTATCTAGAAACATGGTCTATTTACAATGGTTAGATTAGATGTTGTCCTGAGCTATATGCTTCCAAACTTTGATCTAGCGATCCTGGAGAACAGCTAACAATAGGATCTCAGCCCCAGTGAAATCTTCTGTGATCCTCCTCACTGCCTGCAGTAACAAATGAACTCCACAAGGTCATTAAGTCTTGTGGACTTTGGTCTGTCTGTTCTGAGTAATCAAGCCAGGCTGGAATGGTATCTACAGTCTAGCTTCCCTTAAGATCACCGAGCAGAGAGATATGCATGATGTATTGTGCCATGCCACAATGAGATGACTTCCACCAACACCCTCTTGGAGGAAGGAGGAATTTCTCTATTTTTACGTTGCATATAGCCTGTGTGTTTTCAGTTAGGGTGGCCACCAGGAGGCACTGAGTTACCAGTTTCACCCATATTCAGCATCTTCAGAGAGAGTAGCCAGATGTTTTTCTATGGGGTTCAAACCCTCTTCTGGGAATTGAACTCATTGACCTTCACACTTTGGATGACTATGTACAGTGAATTAAGCTTTAGGGACTACCTAGATCTGGCAACCTATACCTATTGTTCTGGTCCTCGTTTTGTAGCCATAGAACATAGCTCATGAACATCTTCCCCATATCTTTGCTTTATGGGCTTCAAACACAGCTATCGTGATTCCCATAAGTCTGATGACTTCAGACTGAACATCTCAAGGTCCCTTGGCCTGTCCTCACAGAACTAGTCCTCCTCTTTGTCACCTTCCTCTGAACCTTCTCCAACCTGAATATCCTTCTGGAAATGTGGTGCCCAGAATTCTACAATGTTCTCCAGGCACGGTCTCGGCAAGGCAGAATGGAGGAGAAGGAGAACCAGAAGTGTCACAGACCTTCTAGCACCTTTGACCGAGGCCCGATCCAGCCAGCATGGCTCAGTGCAAAGGGCAAACCCAGCCAAGGATCT